CGTGCTGAAGTCGCTGTTCCCAGCTCCTCCTCGTGGCCTCCTTTGAACAGTTCTTGGATATCAGGTGAAGTCAGGATTAGTACGTCAGCTTCCTGACCAGTCTGCCGCTGGAGTACCGTTTCCATTTGGTCTGGATGTACTGAATAAACCTGCAAGACTTGCAGCGTTCATTCATTGCAGAATGCTCACATTGAAGGCCGATTGTCTAAGTCGGACCCAAGTCTCCTTCTCTGAGGTTCACAGTGCACAGATAAGATGTGCCGTCTCGAGAGAAAAGGGTTGGTTGACCTGCAGCCGGGATTAGTCCCTCTAATATACACCGCAGGGTCGGGTCCATCTAGAAGAAACAAAAATATGTCCCACATGAATTAGAGCACCCACTCCGTGAACTGAATAGTAACTGCATAACTGCACAAATGCCTGTATATCATAGGAAAAATAAATCCGCACAAGCTGTAATAAGGATCCCATCACAACACCTGCTGGCATGGCTCTACAGCAAAACCCTCATAACAAGCTTGCACCAGTTATGAAATGGCTATAACATCTTGACAAGGTTAAAGATGCTTGCGCATAATAATAAAAAGAATAGCATAGAGGTATTTATTAAAACCTAACATACCTCAGCACACAGAGCTTCAGCACTAGCCGTCGCACTCCTGAATCCAAGGCTTCTGACACTACCCGCTCACAAGCTTGGTAAAACGTGGTGTCAGGGTTATAGGGGTCTACGTTAATTATGGAAATAGCGCTGACACGACTTTCCAGATTCCCTAATTGCTTGTCTAAGAGAGTAGTAATTTCTCCTGCCTCGTAATTACGATCTACCAGCGGGATCATGGAGCTTCTACCTTCTCCTCCTAGGAGTCTCCTCAAAGAGCTCAGTGAGGATGTGGTTCCGGCAGAGCTTTGTGGATCTTTCAGAAAGATCAACACATCTTCCTCTCGGAGCTCCGCATCTATTTTCTCGCCTGACAGAATTATCACCGGCTCTTGACCTATCATGACATGGTTCTGGGGAGCCGCGGGACTATGCGTTTCTAACGGGGTAAAAGGAATTGGGTTTGGAGTCCTTTCAGCCCCTAACGGTCTCGTCCTTCTCCCACACTGCAACATGCTGTTCAGTGGGCGATCTCCCCACGCCTCTCATGGGCACCTGAGAAGGGGTTTGTGCATGGAGAAACAGGTTCCACTGTGCTGGCCGAACCGAGTCAGGGGGATTCGGTGGGGGTGCAGGGAATCTGTTCTCGGAACCGGGGCTGATGGGGAATTCTTCACGGAGCGCTGGATATAACGGAGGCACGCTCGGCACTGGTGGATCCTCATCCCATGAGGACGAGATTTCAACCGCAGCTCTCCTTCGGTACATTTCCGCTTGGAGCTCCGTGACTCCCAGTCGGTTGCATAACGCCTGTCTCATTTCAATTGCCTCATTTTTGCTTCTAGATAAGAAGTATATTATTCTACCACTAACCTGTTGAACCATGAACTCGGCCATCGTAGAGTACATAGCTCCTGGGTCACATCGGAACTGTCCGACTCCGAATGGAGTCAGGACTAAAGCTTCCGGTCCAGCTGGGAGTTGCTCCAGCAATCCCAAAAGAATCTCATACTGTTCTTCTCTTGTGAGACTTGTGGGGTTTTCCCAACAGCACCATGCTACTTGACTGAAAGCGGGGTTGCTGCGCTGTTCTCCCAAAAGCACCAAATCTCCCACTAACGGAAAAACATGAGCACTTCTCACTTGGGTTTCAGCATTCGGACAGCGCTCAGCCGCTGCTCGAGCTGTTCCTGCTTCATTCTGAAAGTTTTGATTACAAGACACTGCTAAAATGCCCTGCGGTTCGCCTTGATATGTGGCTATCTCTCCGGTTACAAATCTCACGTTAAGGAGAATATTCTCCGGTTTTACTGTTAAAGATCTATATGCCATGGCTGGTTAAGAGTTTTTCTTATTTTTATTCATTTATTTGCTTTCTACGTCTTATTTTTTATTCTTATTCTTTATTTTTATTTATTTATTGTCTAGTTTATCCTTGGCTTTTCTTGCGTCGGAAAGCCGTAATTTCTTCATACCTTTTCTTTTAAGTTAGTCGTCCGTACTCCCTGTTTCTTTCTTTTTCGAGAAACTGGTGCGGTTTTCACTCTACTCCAAGGTTATAAGCGTATTAGGTCCATAGTGCGCAAGCTTTTATCAGCCTAGAAAACAGTTCTACTTCGGTGAGTCCGTTATCTAATATTTGACCTTCACTCTTGCCCCCATCCGTTGGGCGCCATGTCGCGAGCGTGTCTTTTTCTGTCGGTTCCTTTTGTCCCACCTCTTCTGCTGATGGCTGGGTCGGACACTTCTTCACCTTCTGCCCAGTTTTACTCGCAGAAGCAAGTTCTGTTCCGTTATCTCTGCGTCCCTTCTGTGGACCTCGTTTCTTGCCACAGTTTTTGACCTGCAGGAACTTGCAACAGTGTAATTGGAGCGGGCAGCCGCTAATGTCTGTGCTTCTGTTTACGTTGCTCATCAGAATAAACAAAGCATCCGTTAATCTCGAAAGATGAATGGTGTCATGGCGATCACTAAGCATTAACCCACAAAACGTAGAAGAGATCTGATTACACCTTCGGTTCAGCTGTGAGAAGTCCAGACGTGGCTTGTTAGCTGTTTCAAATGGATCTGGAAGCTATATGCTAAACGCCGTTAGCTTAGAGATGTTTATTGTTTTGTTCATCTTCACAAAGATGTGTTAGATCATCTAAAGTAGTGATATCTAAATCCCTAGGTTTTACTTTGTTAGCTTAAATCGCTGAGATACAACTCTGGGTAATGGCAGGAGATGGGGTTCTTGCCCTCCAGCTAGTGTGGATGTGTGCAGCTACCCGATGAAAACAATCTTTTTCAATGGGTTTCTACATCTGCTAGATGTTCAGAATCAGAAATCAAAAAAACTTTTATTGTCACTGCATAAGAATGCAATGAAATAGACCATCGGTTCAACCAGGACCCGGAAGTTGAATCCAGGACAACTGTTCCCAGTCGTGGCTGACTGAGGTTGTAAGCCCCGCCCTCCCATGTAACCAAATAGGGCACTTTCTAGGTCTTAGCAGTTGATTCAGATAGTTCTTACTTTACTGCTGCATGTTCAAATACTCATTTAGCTAATATGTATCGGTGTAATGATCTATTTCTGTGTGTTGCTCTGTAAACAACCAGCGAGCTAACGGCTAATACTCATGCAGTCATGAGCAAAGCGTATTTTCAACGTTTCAAAAAGTTTTAGTGCGCTGTGCAAAGATTTGCCTTAACATTTTCATTCATCATTACCAACTTTGTGTAAGATGGTTATTGACATCACTTCTGATGCACCCAGGTCAGATCTGACTGGAATGATTTAATGTTCCTACTAAAATACCTCAATAATACTAGACTGTTGACTGTGTGAACGTTTCTAAGAAGAGGGTTACTTGAACTGCTGAGAAATTTAGAAGGCTGGATTTGTTTTAAAATGAAAGCAGTTGGGTCTATTCTGACCATAAGGATAAGAAGAACTGTATCATCTCATCATCCTCAGTAGAGTCGCCCCCTCTTGTTTGGACCGGGACCAAGGTGCATTCATGTTCTGATACCTGGTCTATCGCAGCGGTGAAGATAAAGGGAACACAAACTTGTTGAGGTTAGGACAGTAACAGTGTAAAACATGATGATACTTCCCTTTGTTTCTGTTTACCTGCATGCATAGAAACCACTCTGTTTTGTTATTGATCACATTTTTTCTGAGACAGAGATGATGTTTCTAACAACCGTTTCTCATTTGGCTAAAAGAAGATTATCAGAAACTGAGTCTCTAGAGAAGGCTCTCCAGGGAAACATGGGCTCCATTTTCCCAACATATTTTATTAAAATTTTACCACACTCATCTGTGGTGACATTTGATTTTCCAGCATCAAGAGAAATGATCCCTGCTGACCTGCAGCCCTCGAGGCTTGTTAGTTTGGATAAATGGCTGCAAACACGCCTGACGTTAACGCTCCCCGAGGAGTCTTGTTGATGCTGATCCAAGCCGTCAGCAAGAGTGAGAAAACAAGCTGATCTGTTAAGTGTGCCCACAGGCGCTGTGGGACTACTCACCCACCTGGATTCACACGCCGCTCGGCGTCACTGGGCCTGACCTGAGAGGTGGTCCACCTGACAGACAGAAAGCCGTGTGGGACTGTGACAGTTGTGGGCTGCGTTCAGAGAGAAGAGAAACCTCATTGCAGGTGAGATGTGGCTGATCTGCCCACATGTCAGAGCTCAGAGCCAGGCGACTAAATTAAGAGCATCAGTGAGTGATTAAATAAAAGGCTCTGCTCACCTCCACACAAATGGGAATTGATTGAAGATCGCTCTCAAGCTGAATTGCATACAGAGCTTTATTTCATCTCTCTCAACCCTCTCCTCCTTCCTGCTCATCCGCTCTTCACTGCAGTTCCATCCTCTTCTCTTCAAATTCCTTGTTCAGCCATTTTCTTCTCTTTTCCTCCCCTCTTTGATCATTCATCCTCTTTCCTCCTCTCCTCTCCATTCTCGTTTCCTTATTTCTTCTCACCCAAGCACATCATCCCTCCTTTATGCCTCATCCCTTATTTCTTCCTTATCATCTTGTCCTCCCTCTATCCTACTTTTTGTTATGCCCGTGTTCATCTTCTCTCTTTCTTCCATAAACCTGATGTTTTTTTCATCTTCTCCTTCATGCATGACTTTTCATCCTTTAGTTTTATATTTCTCTCCTGATTCAAAGAGTTTTCTTATTCATTGACTCGTCGTTTTGTTTTCTTTCCACCTTTTTTCTCCTCATTTTAATCTTCTAATCCTCCTTTTTTCTGTCCCAATTCTTTATTTTCAGTTTTTCCTTCCTTCCTTCCTTCCTTCCTTCCTTCCTTCCGTCCTCCCTCCCTCCCTCCCTCCCTCCTTCCTTCCTTCCTTCCTTCCTTCCTCCCTTCCTCCCTTCCTTCCTTCCTTCCTTCCTTCCTTCCACCCATCCATCTTCTTATCACTTTAGTCCTCTTCTCATTGCTCTTTTCTCCATCTCTATCCCACCATCATTCCTCTCCCTTTCTCCTCATCCTCCCACATTTTTGCTTGTCCAACACTATTCTTTTATCTTCATCCACATTCTTCCTCTTCTTTTCCTTCCCAGCATGTTTTCCCTTCGCTCTTGAATCCCACTCATCTTTCTCCTCACTCAAAAATCTCATCCTCTCTCCAGCTCCTCTTCACGGATCTCTCACTCTTTCCTTTCATCTCTTCTCCCAATAGTCTCTCTCTCTCTCTCTCTCTCTCTCTCTCTCTCTCTCTCTCTCTCTCTCTCTCTCTCTCTCTCTCTCTCTCTCTCTCTCTCTCTCTCTCTCTCTTTCTCTCCTCCAACAGCAGAGCATCACTGAACAGCGAAGGCAGCAGCAGCAGAGTCACTCAGCTCGGCATCAACTCGCACCAAAGTGAGACCCTCATTTCTTTTCCTCCCACCTTTTTTAATTTTTGCATCATTCTTTTTTAATCCCATCTTCTTACTCAGGCTTTTTGGTCATTTCTTCTCTACTTTTGAGCCTTCTTCCTGCTAAACTGATCTCCCTCGGAGTGCAGCAGGATGAGGGTACCATGCATCCCAAATAGCATTTCTGTCCTTGCTCCAACTAGAGCATGTAGCCATATGTTTTCCAGTTTTTGTCTGTTTTTTGCATCTCATTGGGAAAAACTAGGCCAATCTTGTGGCTTTTCCTCAGTGTGCCAACCGCTGAGCTCCAATGTGCATGGATTTGATATTTCAAGGTATGACTTTTAAAACAAATAATGCAAATTGTTCATCCAGTGACATAATGTGTATCGGCGTGATGACTGACATCAGGCAGCTCATTCTGTAGGATCATGTATTGTTCCTTGATCAAAGCCATTGTGCGGTAGAGACTGGACAGATGCACCTGTAATTTTTGTTGTGAGGGAGCAAATGTGATTCTTTACAAAACTTGTTTACTTGATGCTCTTTTCTGAGGTCTGCATAAAGAATTTAGCATATTTATTTTGTCTTTTTTCTATTTCACCCGGCACAAACGCATCCTTTCTGCATCAGATGAACTGGAGGTTAAATATTCGAGGATCACAACGTCAGCATGGACTTCTCAGATGAATCCACTCCTGTTGCTGCCACATTTTCAGCCACTTTCCAACCAAACTCTTCTGCGGAGAGTGTCAACCAGACGTCTTCGTCCCTATCCAGACCCCCTTCTCTTCCTCCTCACTCTCAGGTGGCATCTGTATTTATTGTGCTGGTGGTCTCTGTCATCATCCTGGGGACCGTGGTTGGGAATGTGCTGGTTGTGGTGGCCGTGTTCACCAGCCGAGCCCTGAGGGCACCTCAAAACCTCTTCCTGGTGTCTTTGGCTTCAGCAGACATCCTGGTGGCAACGCTGGTCATCCCCTTCTCCTTGGCAAATGAGGTGAGGAGACTTCTCTAATTATTCTGCCTGGAAATATCAGGTGGTTTCAGTACTTCATGCTGGAGTGGTTCATATTTCTTTAGGGATTAAAGCAGTTTTAAACATTCCTTCAATAAAAAACTGTGCCTTAAGATGGATGAACCCTCTGCGCCATCACTTGGCTTCTCTAGGGCCCAATCTCAATACTCGCACTGCGTTCTGCGGTCTTAGGCAAAGTGCACTGGGAGAAAGTGTGCTGCAAGGCTTCGAGTGTGTAGAAGACAAGTGTGCAAATAATTGCAGAATTGAGACGGGGAGCATTGCATCATCAACCGCAATGCATGCCGGGATTCTGGTCGCTGTGATACTTTTTTTATAAACCTTTATTAACAACTTTGAAACAAACAACCAAACATTTGTTTGAAAATTGCTGCTTTGTCTAAAAGTTTCAGAGCATTAACTAATCATCCTAAATTTAACAACTTTCATTAGATAATATATATTTTCAAAAATGGTACTTGAGCCTTTTCTCCTGCAGCAATGGTTTGTGGGCAATACCCTTCAGGTGCGGATCAAGGATGCAAAAGGGGTGTGACCAACTTCCACACCTGAGAATCGGGACACCCTAAGCACTCGCACCCCTGGTCAGGATCGCGCAATTGAAGGGCAGAATGGTGGAAATGTGAGTATTGGAATTGGGCCTAGGGGTGAACTGAAGTCCAGTGGGTGATTCCCATCAACGCCATCTTGGCCGTGTCATGAATCTCCTCCCTTCCATGAAGGTGGGGACTGAACATTGATTTCCATCACACTCTGAACCAATTTAGCTATGAGCTAACTGAGCTAATCGAAGCCAACAGAGGTTGGCAGGTGCTTTTAGCCAGAAAACCATGATTGAGCAACTCTGCCACCCTCAGCCTTCTAGGCTGCATTTTTTATGCAAGGCTGAGGCTGAGACCTTCCCTGGGGCAAGCGGGACACACTGTTAGCATCAGCACCGGTGGCTCATCTGACAACTGTCAATCAAAAGGACACACCCTTATGTTTTTATCATTTTAAGCTTTACTTACATCTGGATGAGTTACAAAAAATCTCCCCCTTAGAGTTGTTACAGCTAAAATGCTTTTTGAACCAGTCTAAACTTGTTTCATTCTGCTGTGAAGGTGCTATTTGTAACATGGCAGTCAATGGGAACTTGCTGGCCTGGCCTGCCAGACTCGTCCTCTGTTTAATTCTGCACAGAGAAAGAGTCTGGTAACTCACTGACAGAGAGGCACATGAGGGGCGGGACTAGCCAGCTCAAAAATAACCAATCAAAACAAAGATGGAAATGCTGACTGTACCGGGCTACGCTGTAGTTTTTTAGCTGTAGACAAAAATGGCGTCTGGCAAAAGCGCAATCATTGTTTCTTTAGAAGAAAGGCTTTTAGCACTTCACCTTGATGTTTTAAAGACGTTTCCAAGTCATTTAGACCAGAAAAGAGCTGCAGCAAACGCAGCTTCAGTCGGCATGTTTATGAGAAACTCAGGGTTGCGGTGTGTGACGTACGCTACTCAGCGCTGATTGGCTCGGTTAGAATTCTCAGGGGATGGGGTTACTTGAACAGGAGAGTTCCCAGACCCTTTCTTTGTGCAGAATTAAACAGAGGAGGAGTCTAGCAGGCCAGGCTAGGAACTTGCTTCTTTCTGGAGCCAGCCCCTAGTGGATGAGGGAGGCACTGCAGGATTTGTTTCCTCTGAGTGAGTCCAAAAAAAAAAAAAAAAAAGGATTAACAAGAAATGAGCTCCAGCTATACGAACACTATGGAAGTAAATACTGTTCAGATTAAAACCTCAGAGAGATTAAGCCAGTTATTCTAAGAAACAACCACTCACCTTCATGTAGCTCTGATTTGCATTAATCCATCACAAGTGATTAAAACAGTAGGGAACAACTCAGCTACATGGACTAATGATGCTAGTTTGAAACAGGTAAAACAGTTAAAACCAAAGAAATAGGTAAGAATCAAGGATAAATTAACTCTTAGGGTCGAGTGTTACATTTAAAATGCAAATATCTACTGACTCACTCTAATTAAATGTTACTTACATTCCACTTTCTTGTTTTCCAAAAATGATCAAAAGTTTTATGGTTTGTTTGATCTTTAGTGCCATAGTGTGAGACGATAACCCACTCACTAATTTTCTTATTGCTGGGTAGGGTCTCAGGGAGCTGGTGTCTGACTCCAACAGTTATTGGGTGAGTGGTGGGGGACACCCTGGACAGGTCTCAGTCCATCACAGGGACACAGAGACAAATAACCAGATAAACTCACTCACACCTACAATTAGAGTCTAACCTGACATGCATGTTTTTGGAGGGAAACTCAGAGAAAACCCATGAGTGTGTGGAGGAGAACATGCTAACTGCATGCAGAAAGGCTATGGCCGGGATTCAAACCTACAGACTTCTTGCTGTTAAGCAACACCATGCAGTTAATCAGACAATTACATCCATAATGATTTGAGGGGATAAACCTCCAAATGACTCATTATTGATCAAATAAAAACATCTCAGAATGTAGCTTAAAAACACATCACAGCAAGATATTGAAAAGTCTGTGAGAAGCAAAAAACAGAGCATTTCTGATCCGCTGGCTCATAATTTCTTTAATTCTTTTTTACATTTCGTCAGTTAATATAGTGATGTCATGTTCTGGGTGAGCTGTCTGACCCAAGACATGAAGAATCACACATTGAGAATAAGGTAACCAAAAATAATATTAATTTTTATTTTAGAACAATAAGGGGAAACTAAGGACGCTACTCCAAACGGGAACAGGAAGGGACCAGAATGGTCAGAGACCAGGGGCTGGTGAGGGTGTAATAGGTCAGGTCTGGAAGTGAGGAAGTAGCTGGGTCTGTGGAACGAGGTGGAGGCGGGCAGGTGACAGTAGTAGAAATCCAGGAGGAATGCTGGGAGGCTGGCGGACGGTGGAGAGCAGAGGCCAGGGGGTTCTGAACGACATGTCTAGTAAACAACTCCAGGCGAAGGCAGGTAATCCAACGGTGGGATCATCCTAGGTGAGAGTATCAACCGGCGCTGGAGTTGTGTCACACCGCTCTGATTAGGGAGATCAGGATCAGCGGTGGCTCTCCGACACACCCACCTGCAACACAAGCCTGGGAAAAAACTGTAGCATGCATGATATTCTAGGGATGATCAGGGCAGACCGTGACAGTACCCTCCCACAAGGGACGCCACCCGGCGGCCCAGCAGAGGAGAAGGAGGCGGAGGAGGAGGCACAATGGGAAGCCTCGAAGTCCCAGATGAGGGAGACGTCGTCAATCCAGGAACCAGGGATCCATTGACGGTGCTCAGGTCCATACCCCTCCCAGTCCACAAGGTACTGACAACCAAGGCCACATGCACGGACATCCAGGATGTGGTGGACCCAGTAGCAGAGGCCGCCATCAGCAAGGCGGATCGGTGGGGGAGGGTCAGCAGGAGGGCACAGGGGGCTAGAGACAACAGGCTTCAAGAGGGAGACATGGAACACAGGGTGCACTTTCATAGACGGGGGCAAGGACAGACAAACTGAGACAGGACCAAGGACAGCAGAGACGGGAAAAGGACCAATGTAGTGGGGAGAGAACTTCTTGTTGGAGCCTCAGAGTTTAATGTCCCGAGAGGAGAGCCAGATCATCTATCCAGGAGCGTAGGCCGGTGCCGGATGGCTGTGGCGATCCGTGAGCCTGCAGTTGCGATCAGCGATGGAGAGCCGCATGAGTCAGATTCCAGGTGCGCCTGGCCCAGTGGAGGAACTGAGGGACTGTGGAGGGGGTAGAAGAGTCAGAGGGAAACAGAGGGGGCTGATACCCCCGGGAAATCTCAAACGGGGACTGACCTGTGGAGGAGGAGGTGTGGGAGTTGTAGGCATATTCCATCCATGGCAGCTACGAACTCCAACCAGAGGGGTTTGAGGTGCAGACGCATCAGAGCATAGCCTCTAGTTCCTGGTTCATGCACTCACACTGGCCGTTGGTCTGTGGGTAGAATCCGGAGATGAGGGAGACCCGAGCCCCCAACTGTGCGGCAATTCTGCCCAGACGCGGGATACGAACTGGGGACCCCGGTCAGAGAGGATCTCGGTTGGGATGCCATGTAAACGGAACACATGTATTATGAGCAGGTTAGCGGTCTTGGCTGAGGAGGGAAGGGACTTCAGCGGGACTAGGTGACAGCCCTTAGAGAATCGGTTGACTATGGTGAGGATGACGGTGAAACCCTTGGAGGTGGGTAGACCAGTTACAAAGTCACAGGCGATATGAGACCAGGGACAAGGAGGGACCGGCAAGGGCTGGAGAAGGCCTTGAGGGGACTGGTTGTTACTCTTATACCTGGCACAGACCTGACAGGTGCTGACATACTCCTTAACATCCCTATACAGGGATGGCCACCAGAAGGTCCTACGGATGAGGGTCATGGTTCTGCCAAGGCCAGGATGGAGGGAGAATCCTGCTGTGTGCGCCCAATGTATCAGGGAGCCGCGAGAACTGGAAGGAACATAAATTTTATGTGGAGGACCGGTACCTGGTCTCGTTCCACACGTTGAGCCTCCAAATCCTTGTTGGTGATATCCCAAGAGATTGAGCTGACTATGCAGGAGGCGGGTAGGATGGTAATGGGTTCTGCATCCTTATCCGAGGCGTACTGGTGGGAGAGGGCATCGGGCTTGACATTCTTCAATCCGGGTCTGAAAGAAATGATAAAGTTGAAGTGGGAGAAAAACAACGACCAGCGGTAGTGACGAGGTCTTAGTCTCTTAGCCTCCTTTAGATATGCCAGGTTCTTGTGATCAGTCCATATTATTATGGGGTGTTCTGCTCCTTCCAACCAATGGCGCCACTCCTCCAATGCCATCTTTATGGCCAACAATTCCCAATCCCCCACGCCATATTTTTGCTCGGCGGAGATAAGGCGACAGGAGAAAAAGGCGGTGGGATGGAGGCAGTGATCTGTGGGAGAGACCTGAGAAAGA